AATCAAAATGAAAAAAAAAACAGTATAATGTGAAAATATAAAAATCTAAACAAATTCTAAATATTAATAAAAACTATAGTAGTATCTTCGTGATATTAAAATAAAGCTGCAATAGGTGTGTTTTTCAGTTCTGAAGTAAAGTACTAGTCCACATTCAGTAACATTTTTCCACAAGGGAAAGCTAATTTCACAGCTAATATTATCACTTTTTTTTTTTACACAATACAGTGCATGTCTCATAATTCATCTCAAGCGTGCTAGTCACTCACCGACATTATTGTCTCTTTGATAATCAAGTACACACAATTTTGAAATGATATCACAAATGAGGGAGCGATGTAATTGGTCTAAAAAATTGCAACTGTGATTTCTATTGCAACTATTCACAATGATAATAAAAAGTTGAAATCTCTTAGTTTTAATACAGATCAACTAATGGGAACAGTTGTTGAACACCCAGATATTTCTGATAAAAAAATTAAAATAAAATGATGTTTTGTGGGTAACATCCAAACTCATGTTTGGATGTTTGGAAGAACTTGAGGGTGAGTAAATGATGATGACTTTTTATATTTGGGTGAACTGTGACTTTATTTACACTGAAGGAAAATTCCTGGTAAATGCAAGTTATGGTCTACTGACATCATCTGTTTTATATTTGCCCGATAAACTTCCAGTGTAAGTGCGAAATTATTTTCTGTGTTCAGTCTTGGCTCAAAGCGTAGAGTGAACTAACTTTTGGTGAACTAACAAAGCAAATCTGTTGCCCAGTTTGTCTCCTGAGCTGTCTGGAAAATAGCAGGGGCTTGAGAAGATTGTGATTTCTCACCCTGCTGAAAGACATGCGCAGGGTTTACATAATGACAGCACTTCACTGGAATTTACTCGCACCTCAGCCTCCTCCTCAAGTCCAGGCTGGTTCAGTGATTCAGGCTTATCTGACATTCAGACCCACTGAGATCTGACGCATTTCCAGAAAGAAAAGAAAAAAGATAGGAGTGATAGGAGTGTATCAGACTCCCTGTATTAGACAGGAACTTGTTGTTACTTGTGCTAGTGTGGAGTTGTATGGCGTCCACACCCACAGCAGGAGACACACCCGGTGTTTCTGTGCCTCTCCCACTGCAGCCGCCTGCTTGAGCACTTTTCCTTTAAAGCAGATGAGTTGCATGACAGGGTTTCTGCGGGTCTTTAAAGGTCTTAATTCGTCCTTTCACAAATTAAGGCCTTAAAACTGGTAGGCTCTTTAAACTCGTTGTGGCATCATATGTTCCATGCATTGCAAAAAAATGAATGTCGTCCTCAAAATTCCAAAAATCCAAACATCCTTAAATCAAGATACATATACTTGAGATGCAAAAGTAAACTAAAGACTTAAAAAACTGAAGAAAATTAAGTTAGTTATGCTTCAAGCAACAGCAAATATCTGTCAGTGGGGTATGATTGGCAGATACTTGGCAGATATTTCTCTGTTGAAAAAAACAGCATATGCTGGTTAGGTATGTTTTGACGCTGGGATGCTGGTTTATGCTGGTCCTTTTGCTGGTTTATGCTGGTCCTTTTGCTGGTTTATGCTGGTCATGTGCTGGCAAAGGACCAGCTTAAACCAGCAAAGGACCATCTTAAACCAGCAAAGGGCCAGTATAAACCAGCAAAGGACCAGCTTAAACCAGCAAAGGGCCAGCATAAACCAGCAAAGGGCCAGCATAAACCAGCAAAGGACCAGCTTAAACCAGCAAAAGACCATCTTAAACCAGCATCCCAGCGTCAAAACATACCTAACCAGCATATGCTGGTTTTTTCAACAGAGTTGTTCTTGTTTAAATCATAATTCAAATTCCCCAGAAAACAAGACTTATCTTATGTCATTTTGCTTCTTGATTTAAATATCTTTAGACATTTGCACTGGAAAACAAGACTAAAATACTGGGGAAGAGCATCATATTCTAGTGTTTGGGAGCAGAGATGTTCAACTTATATATTTATGTATGTATGTATGCTAAAATTAATAAAAAAATGATGATGATATGTTGTATTTTCAGACTTTGAAATGTTGCTAATACAACTCATTGTGTTTTTACATTAGGAAAACATATTGACATATTTATTTCCCTTAAAATTTCTTTACTTAGCCTTGAAAAAAGTCTTTAAAAATCTTAAATATATTTTCATCAATCCTGCAAGACTTTATTGCACCGATTGACTGAATTTAAGCATGAATGTTTACTTTCTGCAACGGCGTTGTAATTGAAAGCTTTCTTTACTTCTCCACTTCCTTTGGCTGGACAAACAGACAGTTCCTCCTCAAATTCACTCCAGTGATTAACTCAGTGTTGTGTTGTCAGGCCCAGTCAGGCTCTTGGTTTGTTTATATGTTTTTTTTTATTTCTTAGTAACTGTATACTGCATAAAAATATTGAGAACTCTACCTGACACACACACACACACACACACACACACACACACCCCTACACAGTTCACCACAGGTTAGAAAGAGCATGCATTGTTTCGCCCGAGCAGGAAGGAGGGAGGGGACAAACAGGGAGTGGCTGGAGCAAAAGAAACCAAGACAAAAGCAGTGAGAGTGATTGGGGTGTGACTGATTTGAGTTCTTATCTGCGCTGAGCTCCGGCAGGACGAATACTTGAAATAACTCTACAGTCAGCAAAACAACTACACGGTCCTCCTGTGGACCCTGATCTGAATTCCCAGACATTATCTAAGAAGACCAAAACTGATCTGAGATCAGCGTGAAAGCGACAGCTGACGGCAATGATTAAGCACTGCCACCTAGAGGCTATGATTGATGATGCCATAAATCACGCTGATTATTAACTTTTGTTTAAAAATCTACATGCTTTCAGACACAAGTGAAGAATATCACATTGTCATTAAATGACCAGCTTTAAAGTGTATAGTTTCTGCACCAAATGGAATCACAGAAGTAATAGTTTCCCAAAAATAGATCAAAGCAAACATCGGTTGTTACCAGTTCTTGTTTAATTGTGATGTACATTGCAACCTACTGGACTATTGTGCAGTTGCTTGTTTGTTTATTTGTTTATCCTTTCCTCATTTTTGCTACATATGCTCAGATGTGTCTTATATGTATTGTCACAGTGTTGCAAAGAGAGACATGGATCTAACTGCAGCTTTTATTGAAATAATTAAGAGTATAAGCCAAGAATGCACGAGGAAACCCATGGAAAGGGAAATATGCTTTACATGCAAAGAAAGACAATGACCGACAGTGAACTAAGGAAAAGGAAGGCTCTATTTACACAAGATAATGCTAAACTATACTAGACGCAGGTGAAGGTACTCTCTAACTAGGGAAACGAGTGAACAACAGGAAGAAACACAGGAAGTGAATATTACAACAACAGAATCAAACGTTATCTGTTGCTGCATCCCACTTATAGTATGCCCTAAAAGTATGAGCTCTTTTTGTGAAGAAAAAGTGAGTGCATGTAAGTTGAGAGACATACTTGCATCTTCAAAAGGCTCAAAGCCTTTTATCTAAACTGCTCTAGTTAACCGTCGCTCGTCACACGCCTGCCATGTTTGTAGTTTTTAAACACTTTTTATATGTGTTTGTAGTTCTGAACCGAATTCTGATTTGAAGCCAAATGGATTGTGGCGAATATTAGCTGTTAAAAGATGCATGGATATGCACTTCGAAAATATATAGTACTTTTAGGATGCTCAATTCAACATATACGATTTGGGACTTTGATTCTAATATTGAATACTATTTAGGACAGATCAAAATAAGAGTCTTTGGAACAACAGACAGATAATACATGACTTGTATTGTATTTAATTAAATAGAAATTATCGTGTTGCAAAAAAAAAAAAGGGCGAGATGTTGAGAAGTGTTGGGTTTAAGATTTATGAGGTGAAATTAAATTGACATTGCTGTGTCATAACAATGCTTTATAATTATATTGCGCTGTCACACCCACTAAACAGGTTTGGTTCACTGTTTCTGTGGTTCCCTTTCATGGGAACTTCGAACTGCGTCCTCTGGGTTTCCCCATAGTGACCCCTAGAGGACGCAGTGTCTCATTCCCTACTCAGGGAACCATGGTTACATAAGTAACCTGAGACGTTCCCTTTCATGGGAACTTTGAACTGCGTCCTCTAGGGGTCGCTATGGGGAAACCTAGAGGACGCAGTGTCTCGTTCCCTACTCAGGGAACCATGGTTACATAAGTAACCTGAGACGTTCCCTTTCATGGGAACTTTGAACTGCGTCCTCTAGGGGTCGCTATGGGGAAACCTAGAGGACGCAGTGTCTCGTTCCCTACTCAGGGAACCATGGTTACATAAGTAACCTGAGACGTTCCCTTTCATGGGAACTTTGAACTGCGTCCTCTAGGGGTCGCTATGGGGAAACCTAGAGGACGCAGTGTCTCGTTCCCTACTCAGGGAACCATGGTTACATAAGTAACCTGAGACGTTTCTAACATGCACTGATAGTTAACTCAGTTTTTGAAACAGAAAGCTAAGTTAACGGTAACACTTTATTTCGATAGTCCACTTTAGACATTCTATTAACAGTAAGTAACTTTGCAACTACATGTCAACTAGCAGTTAGTAGAGTATTAGTAGACTGTCTGCTTAATATCTTCTAACACTTTCTTTGTTAACTTATTCTACTAAACCTAAACCTACCCTAAGTCTACTCTGAGAGTTAGTAGACATGTAGTTGCAAATTAATGAGAATTAGTTGACATGTAGTTGACATGTAGTTACAAAGTTACTTATTGTTAGTAGAATGTCTAAAGTGAACTATCGAAATAAAGTGTAGCCAAGTTAACTAACCCTGCTTTCCAGAATATACTGTAATCTGCTGTTTTGACCATGTGTTCGTATGATGAAATGAAAAGTGTAAAATGTGACAACATTTCAAAAATAGATGATAATTACAGTGAGGCGACACTCCAGAAGACTGTAAATCAGTTGGGCGCGTGTCTAAGTGTGTTTGTGTGTTGCAGAGACTCATTGAGACCGCACCCTTCGGTGAAGACGCAGAGACCATCAGCCAACAGATCCTTAATCACAACAAGTTCCACAGTTCAGTCCAGAGAAGCCAGGAAGTGGACAGAGCACGGGATGAGCTGGTATGTGCTTTGAAAGCGAGTTGTGTGCATGCTAATAGATGACTGGGTGTGCTGTTGATTCACACTGCATAAGGTTGTGCATCATTCAGAAGAGAACTGAGAATGCGTTTTAAATTCAACAATTTTGGAATTTGAATTTAAATGTCACTAAAGTGGAGTAACATTCAAAGAAATTCAAATACTCGCTTCAAGTGTTGTTTTATAATAGATTGCATTGTAAGTATGATAAACATGTACTGACAGAATCTTTCTGCTTCAGCTGCAGAGCAGAGAAAAGGCTGGACTCCACTCTCTGGACCAAGAATGGGACACTTTACAGGTCAGCTAATAAAGCATCTCTCATTTCACTGTATCATTTTTTAGATGTTTCTACACTTTTACACAGCAAGTGATTCAATTTAGTTGATTATACAGTCAAATGAGTTCTGTTTATAGATGTTTGCCCCCGATGGTCCAAAGGTTTGACACAGCTACTCGAAACCTTTTTTATTATTACTATTTATCACATTTTAGAATAATAGTAGAGTCATCAAAACTATATAATAATACAAATGGGAATATTATGTAGTGACTATTTTAGACTGTAAATGTTTAACAAATCGGTTCTCTCCAGTGTTTGAGAGAAGCTCGCATTCTCTCAGTCTGATCTTTTCTTCTTCTCACCGTGTAGAAAATGTCGCATGCGCGTACGGCTCAGCTGCGAGACTTGCAGAGCATCATCGAGGAGATCTCCAGAGCCATCATGTGGGTCAACGACAGAGAGGAAGAGGAGCTGGTGTTCGACTGGGGAGATAAAAACATCGACACATACATCCCACAAAAACAAGAGAGCTACTCGGTAAGGACTCACGCACGATCATCAGAAAATAATATACAATAATGCAAATGATCACAAATGCATATGGAATTTGTAAAGCAATTTTCACAATTCAGGACAGCTTTTACAATGCATGTTTTTAAATGATACAATGTCATTTGGCTCTAATGAACTGAGAATCTTTAGTGTAAACCTTACTGTAAAGAGTTACCCAGTTTACATTTATTTATTTGTATACATGTATTAATTTAGCAGACACTTTTATCCAAAATGACTTACAAAAAAAGGACCGTCACAAGCAATTTGTCAATATTTGAAGTTAAACGCCGATAAACCGATAAACGCCACTTTATAAAAGCTGAAACGTTTTCACGGAAGCTTGCAAAAGCAGCGCGTTACAATGCATACAGTTTATGATCACAACAACAACAACGTTTGTCAGGCATCTACATTGTCATCTGAGGAGATTACAAAGATTAAACGAGTGTTTTTTTAAACTCTAAAACATAAAATGTGGAGTTCATCTGCTTTTGCTATAAAACAAACTTTTAATAGGAAAACAACTTACTTTCAATTAACTTTAATTTTGTAAATTACCTTTATTTGTTTAAGTTATTATTACTTAAAGGTGACATATCATGAAAATCTGACTTTTCCAGGTTGTAAGTGCTATAATCAGGTCTCTGGTGCATCTACCAACCAAGGAAACGTGAAAAGATTAACCCAGTAACTTTGTTTAGGTAAGCCTTTTTTCTGCAAGCCTCTGAGAAAACGCATTTCAGGTGACATATCATGAAAATCTGACTTTTCCAGGTTGTAAGTGCTATAATCAGGTCTCTGGTGCATCTACCAACCAAGGAAACGTGAAAAGATTAACCCAGTTTTGGGAAGCCTTTTTCTGCAAGCGTCTGAGAAAACGAGCGTGTCTCATTTCGCTCCCTCTGTGACGTGGCAAAGGGAACTCATTATAATATCACCGCCCCTTAATCTGTAAGTTTCCACTCATGGCGCCGTCATTTTGATTTTGCAAGCGACAAAGTTGTACAAGTTCTAATGCCATGGCGAAAGTTTGAGCAAAACATGCTAACTGTTCTGTCTTTGGCTGCACAGACGAGCACTGAACACTGTTTAGAGTCCCAGCCTCAGACGAGACGAGACAGCAGTGGATTTATTGATTTATTTACTGTATATTGCTGCTGCCACACAGATCTAAAATAAACAAGCGATTTATTTCCCAGCTGTTTACCTTCACAGACATAACCCACTGTTTTTGTAACTCATGTGTGCTTTTAACGTAAACTTGTGTGAAAGAGAACTTAGTTTAGTGCTCACATGCTGTGACAGCCGCTTTCTGTGCGTGTGCTTCAGATGTGTGCGCTCAGAAAACCCTATATCAGAAGTTTAAACTCATATGGTTTAAAATGCATGATTTCAGCGCGATAAACATGATAATCAGAACCAAAACAGATGTTTTTAGCAGGTACAGCTGTCGCAGCTCTATTCTGGAAAAGGGGGCGGGGAGCAGCAGCTCATTTGCATTTAAAGACACAGGCCCGAAAACAGCGTGTTTCTGCTTCCACTCAAAATAGGCATTTTCAAAATTATATAATAAATGATCTGAGGAGTATTTTGAGCTGAAACGTCACAGAAACATTCTGGGGACACCTGAGACTTATATTACATATTGTAAAAAGGGGCATAATATGTCTCCTTTAATCAAAACATCCCAACTGCAGTTTGATTGATATTACTTGGAATGCGCAATAAAAAAAACGTGATTTCTGAAAAAAAAATTAAAATGGAGTTATCGGTTTTTGCAAATGAACTCCTCATTTGTAGAACACAATGCCAATTTTATAGTAAAATATGCAGTTGTTGCACAAGCTAGAATAGGGATGAAATACAAAAAAGACCTGCAAAAAAATACAGAGAAGAGAAGAAGAATAGCTTCTTCAGCTGTAGTCTTATGATGTCTCAAAGTTACGATGTCTCAAGTGATCAGGTGAACTTTGGCAACTCGTTAACTTCTGAATTTTGCTCTATTAGATACATGCACTAATGAAATACAACATCAATGTGCACATGGGCAAACATAAAAAAAAACAATGAACAAAAACTAGTCTTGACTATGCTAGACTATTATTTCCTGTTATAAAATACATCCTTCCTGTCAGAAACTGATGAGTGATCTGGAAGAGAAAGAGAAAGAGCTGAATAAACTGAAGGCAAAGGTGGACAACCTCCTGAGGACCCAACACCCAGCATCTGATAAGATACAGGTGAGGAAACATCTTCACGCTCAACTTACATCAATGATAAGATCAGTGACTGTGAAAACTGTCTCATTAATGCTGTGGATATGAGTAATACCTCAGATCATGAGCTTTTTATAATAATTTACATTGTCGTATTAGGGATCCAAACATGATCTTTTGATGTTTCTTACTTACTTTGGAGCAACCGATGGTTTATAATTTTGTCTGGTTCTTTCAGGCTTATATGGACACACTGCAAACCCAGTGGAGCTGGTTACTGCAGATCACCAAGTGCATCCACGTTCACCTGAAGGAGAATGCTGCTTACAGCCAAGTAAGGGTTTGGTCGTTTGGTGTAGATAAAGGAATCTGTGCTTTAGAATGAAAGCAGTTGCTCTTAGCTGAGGGATCTGATGCTATTTCTTGTGGTGATGATGATATAAATGTACTGTATTGCTCTAAGGAAGAGTAAGCGATTCTCAAAAAGTGTTTTTGAAAATATAATCATTGTCGGAGGTGAAAAGTCTGAAGCTTGGTGTTTCAGTATCATTGAGATACTATTTAGTATGATTGAGATACTAGATTATATTAATATTTTTTAATTTAAAAAAAATTTATTTAAAGTTTTTGTAATTTTGTTATGGTTTTGTCATTTGTTTCATACATATATTAATTTAATTTCATATAAATTATATTAATTTTGTTTCAGTTTTAGTTTATTTTAGTACATCAAGTTAAACCAAATTAAAATGAGAAATGTTGCTGGCAACTTGCTGAAATTAAAATGTTTTTATATTTTATTTTATTTCAAGTAATGCATTTTTATGCTATAATAAGTCATTTTTATGCTAAAAGTGTTCAAATGGATTTAAGGGATTTAGATATTGCTCAGTTTTGTTCAAAACAAGAGTGAACAATTCTTAGAAAGCATCAATGAAGATAAGATTATTTGCCTTTTAAAAAGACAAATGATTGATTTAGTCTTTAAAGGGGCTGCAAATAATGCCTTATTATTCATGCAATATCGTTTGGACTTGGAATATATCGTGCACAAGGCGTATGGATTATTTTATGATACTTATAGTATATGGTGAGCTTGTGTCTGAAACGTGAAAGCCTCAGTCCCCTTTTATTGTAATTGCATGGAAAAGAGCAACCAGTCCTTTCTTCAAAATGTCTCTTTTTGTGTTCTATGGAATAAACAAATTCATATGGGTTTGGACACGAAGGGGAGTAAATGATGACAGAAGTTTTAATTGTCTTATTATTCTTTTGTAGTTCTTCAAGGAGGCCAATGAGACGTACAGCAGACTGCAGAAAGACCACGAGAGCATCCGAAAGAAGTTCACCTGCGACAAGAACACACCTCTGGAGAATCTGACAGAAATGCTCAAAAACCTGGAGGTGCGACAAAATAAAAAAAAATCAAATATGTAGCATATGACGTCCTATAATGTCATTTCTTATGTACGTATGACGTGACTGCACTTTGCAAATCACTGTGTGCACACAAAATGTTCCCATTCATCTTGTAAATAATTGTGCCTGTGTGGGTGTGTGTGTAGAAAGAGAAAGACAGGATCATGGAGAGTAAGAGGCAGGTTCAGACGCTGGTCAACAAGTCCAAGAGCATCGTGTGTCTGAAGCCTCGTAACCCAGAGGAGAAGAGCAGCGGCCCGGTCATCGTCAAAGCCCTGTGTGACTTCAAACAGGACCAGGTCAGTCACTCTCACATACGCACTGATGTCCTCTTTATATTCTTTGTCATATCTGAATGATCTATATATACAGTGAAGGACTTGTTGTGATTTCCCAAGCATGTTAGTTTGAACGTTCAGCTAGGGTTGGAAACTGAGAAATGTCTATTTTCATAACAGATGAATGAAAAGTCTTCCATCGGTGCACAACTAGCTTCACTTTTAAATTACATAATCTTTTAAGTACAAACTGTACAGTAATAAATTACAAATGTGACCGCTCATCAGTAGATTTCTATAATAATGTGCCATTGCAGTGTTGATTTATGATGGCATTACAATCAGCAAAGCTGTCTACTCTAACAGCCACTTTGTTGCAAATCAAAAAAATTTTAACTTTAGTAATAAATAGTGCTGTCAAACGATTAATCGCATCCGAAATAAAAGTTTTTGTTTACATAATATATGTGTGTGCGTTGTGTATATTTATTATGTATATATAAAAACACTCACACACACAGCATATATTTTGAAAATATTTACATGTATATATTTATATTCATATAATTTATATCATATATAAATATATTTAATATATAAACGCAACATATGTTTCTTAAATATATACATGCATGTGTGTGTATTTATATATACGTAGTAAATATACAAAGTACACACACATATATTATGTAAACAAAAACTTTTATTTCGGATGCGATTAATCGCGATTAATCATTTGACAGCACTAGTAATCAAACGCGACGTATAATTTAAAATACTTTTCATTACTAAGATTTAATACACTGTAAAATGATTTTCATTTGGCGTTGTCAGCAAGTGATTTCTCATCAGGCACCAAACAGAGGACACATAAAACGCTGTTTTAGTCAATGGAATGACTTAAGAAATAGGAGGAGAGTTGAAGAGTCACATCTGTTATTAAACATGATCGTCAGTCCCAAACGCTGACTTTGTTAAAGGGACAGTTCACCCAAAAATTAACTCACCCTCATGTTGTTCCAAACCCTTAAGATGTTGGTTCATCTTCATAATGCAAATTAAGATATTTTTATTGAAACCTGAGAGTTTCTGTTCCTCCATTGAAAGTTCAGGTAACCAAATTGAATTAGATCCAAAAAGGTCATAAAGGAGTTGTTAATATGAAACAAATGATTTAATGCGAGTCATGCGAATAGACAGTCGCTTTTTATTATGTAAATAAAAGCCTAAATGAAATCTATTCATTTGAACAGTGATGGACGCTAGGGTTGCAAAGGGGTGGAACATGTCCGGAAACTTTCCAAAAATCCCTGGAATATTCCAAAAAATCCAGGAATGTTTTTGAAATTTACTGGAATTTTTCCCCCTTTTTGCAACCATAATCGACACACATAGAGCACATCACAATGGTAAATGAGCTTCTGTGTTTTCCATATGTGATGAGCTCCGTGTATGTGTGCTTAAAAGCCTAAATTAAATATGTTTATCATGTAAAGCGATCATATCTCTTCGTAAGACTTGTATAAAGCCCCTCGATTCCTTTTTTAAGATGCCTTTATGACCTTTTTGGATCTTCTATGTTTTGGTTACCTGGACTTTCAATGGAGGGACTGAAACCTCTCAGATTTAATTTGTTTCGAGGATTAACCAAAGTCTAATGGATTTGAAATGACACGAGGGTGGGTTTTCATTTTTGGGTGAACTATCCCTTTAACATAGCCATTGATTTAATTATTCAGTTTTTAGGGAGTAAATGTGCTTCTAGACGATGTTTCGAAATTTGTGTTTTTACCACTTCTCATGTTGGGATGAATCTCTTTGTTAAATTGCTCATTTGTAAGTGAAGAAATGTAAATGCATTTCTCTCTCTTGTAATTTACCAAACTCTCTTAAGCGCAAAGGTTAGTTGTTTCAGGTGTAATTTAAAGCTAGAACTACATTCTCCAGAAGCAGGATGTAAACATACAGTGCATGTATTTCTGCAAAACGGTATGAAACACTGAAACGCAGTTTGGCTGTTACAGAAGGGCATTCTGAAAGGGGACGAAGGAATCCTGAAAGACAACTCTCAGCGCAGTAAGTGGCACGTGACTGGACCTGGAGGACTGGAAATGCTCATCCCATCAGTATGTCTGTTCATCCCACCACCAAACCCTCTGAGCATCGGTCTGGCACACAAGTACGACAAAAACACACATGCACACAGATCCTAGAGCAGCCGGTAGTGTCATAGTAAAGACATGCACTGATTAACTGACTGCTTGACAGGAACGAGCAGTACTATGAAGCCATCATGTCCATCTGGAGTCAGCTGTACATCAACATCAAGAGTCTGATCTCCTGGCAGTACTGCATGAAGGACGTCCAATACATCAACTCCCTCACACTCTCAATGGTATCAATTGATTGGATCAACCTTTTACTCAATGCCTAATATGCTTTTTGACTTAGAATTATGTTTTTAACAAAAGTCTCCATCTCTTAGAACATTCTTTGCTTCTCGCTCCCTGTCTGTTTTAGCTGTCACAGATGCGTCCTGAAGAGTATCGCAACATCATTAAGAACCTGGAGCTCCACTACCAGGAGTTCATGCGGAACTGTCTCGGCTCTGAGATGTTTAGCGATGAAGAAAAGAGAAAGATGGAGATGCAGTACGCAGGAGCTCAGTCCCATTATGACCGGCTGGTGATCCAGCTGCCCAACTATAGTAAGACACGCGCACACCGCATCCAGTCACATCATATTATAATCAGTACACATGAATGTAGTGTTACAAGTCATCTTGGCATGGAATATCAAGCCAGCGTTGCAGAGATTCAGATTTATTAATCCACAGATTAGGTCTGTAGAAGAGTTCATCTCTGATTTACCATCAAAATATGATTAGAAAAAATAATGCAAAGATTCTTTTGAAACAACTAAAATGTCAGTCTCCTGAAATAATATTTTCACTTAATTCACAAATTAACAAGTGACATAATTTATTACTTCATGCCTACATCTGCCTGAATCTGCAAACTGAAGCTGGATGCATGGAAATGAACCCATGTACAGTTCATAACACTCGGTGTTAAACTTCACTGAAATTTAGCAGACCTTTGGATCACACATCTGTCTTTTTTCTTAGTTCAGGCCAGGGTTATTATAAAGTAAAGTAAAATTAAAACCATAAAAAAAACATTCATTCGAGCTCAGGGCTGAATGTGAGTTTCATGTCAGATCTGAGTGCTCTCAGACGCAGGGTGGAGGCGGCGGAGACGGGCTTGATCCAGCACCTCCACGTGCCTCTGAAGGAGAACGGCGTACAGGAGTGCTCCCAAAGACTCGTGCTGCTGCAGGTACAATCAAACACACGGCACTGTCAATGGCATAGTCTGTTAGAACAACTAGTGATGTATTGCCGATATATCAGATTTCTGCATTGCTCACTCATAAACACAGTCGGACTAAAATGAAAACTCTCTCATCATTTACTCACCCTCAAGATGTTTCAAATCTGTGTTAGTTTCTTTCTTTTGCTAAACACAAAAGAAGATATTTTGAATAATGTGGGTTACCGAGCAGTTGACGGTAGCCATTGACTTCCGTGGTATGGAAAAACATACTGTGGAAGTCGATGGCTACCGTCAGCTGTTTGGTGTCCAACATTCTTCAAAATATCTTCTTTTGTGTTTAACAGAAGAAAGAAACTCGTACAGGTTTAGAACAACTTGAGGGTGCGTAAATGATGACAGAATTTAATTTTTTTACAAAATTCAAACTCCATGTTTTACGTGGCGATAAAAGGAAACTGCAGCATATTCAGGGTCTGGCCTGTGATTTATCCCACCATCCACGGACGAATTTCCTACTGTTTTTTTTTTTTTGACAAACTCCAAGGTCATGTAGCATTTTAATTGGCTTACAAGAAGGTATCAGTTCATCATTTTTGGCCACTACCACTTTATATAGCGACTAAACACTGAATTTCAAAAAGTTTGTTTTCACAAATATCCAGCATTTAGATGCTCATGTGAAGTGAATTACAAGGGCTAGAAACATTGAAAAATATTACAGAGTTTTGTTTGAGGCTCTTAGTTTAACGTAAAAGTCATGAACCTTAAAAAGATGCTTTCACATGTTCACCTACGAGACATGGGTAAAGTATCTTTTTCCTTTTGACACTTTGCCAAAATATACTTCTAGAATAAAAAAAATCTGAAAATAGTTCAAAATAATAGTGTGGAAAACATTGACCTGGAGAGTGAGAATAATAGAAAGAAAATGTGTTTTCAACACTTTTTGAGGGAGGATTATTATGGCAGCTTTGATGGATTGTATATTATATTAAAGTGCAGTTTTTTATAGCAATCTATTAATAGCGGTAGTGTTTTTGGTTTTGCCGAATCAAGGGGACTGTGATTAAATACAGTTTTCGTTTTCACCCCATCTTGACAATCTTTTGATACATATGTGACGCTGGAGCACAAAAGCAGTGTTAAGTCGCTGGGGGATATTTGTAGCAATAGCCAACAATACATTGTATGGGTCAAAATTATAGATTTTTCTTTTATGACAAAAATCATTAGGATATTAAGTAAAGATCATGTTCCTTGAAGATATTTTGTAAATTTCCTACTGTAAATATATTAAAACTTAATTTTATATTAGTAATATGCATTGCTAAGAACTTCATTTGGCGATTTTTCTCAATATTTTGATTTTTTTGCACCCTCAGATTTTCAAATAGCTGTATCTCGGCCAAATATTGTCCGATCCTTACAAAACATACACCAGTGGAAAGCTTATTTATTCAGCTTTCAGATGATGTATACATCTCAATTTCGAAAAATTTACCCTTATGACTGGTTTTGTGCTCCAGGGTCAACATATGAGTTTTTAATTTGTTCAGTAAATTTGCCTAATGATCTGAATCTGGTCTGTATTTTCAGGGTGTGCATCGTGATCTGGACTCCATCCGGGACGAATACCTGCGTCTGAGGGAGAAGATTTTGAGAGAGCTAGAAGGAAGCACTAATGCAGAACAGACCCGCTACCTGCGCTCTGAGCTGGACCACATCAACCAGAAACTGGGCAGCCTGCAAGGCATCTCCACTGCATATATCCAGAGGCAAGAACACTTCAAACCACAAATACTGCATTTATTATGTTTCTGATTTTGCTCTCTTCCTAAACCTGCTGAAATGTCTGAAACGAGACCCATAAATCGCATAGAGTTCAGCATGGTTACTCTTTTATTTTCGACAGTCCACTTTAGTCGTTCTACTAACTATAAGTAACTTTGCGACTTCTTGTCAGCTAACTCATTCCTTTGCATCTACATGTCAACTAACTCTCATTAGAGTATCGTTAGACTGTTAGTTTATGAAGTTGACATGACAATAAACATTGACAGTAAAGTGTGAGCAGATATTAAGCAGACAGTTTGTTAATACTCTAATGACTGCTAGTTCACACGTGGTTGCAGAGTTACTTACAGTTATTAGAAAGTCTAAAGTGGAACATCAAGATAACGTGGCGTTATACTCAATATGCCATTATACTCCCATCTTGCTGTACCCTAGAGAGAGTCCATTACTGCTAAAGTGGACAAAATAAGGATTTGAGTTCTCTTTCAGGCACAGGGACAGCGTGAACCTAAAGAACTGGGTCTTTTTTCACCTGATTCGCTTTTTTGGTCCACTTCAGGGGTCTGATTTTGGTTAAAGTGCCCATAATATGCTCATTTATTTCTGGGGTCTGCTAAAATACTTTTGCATGCTTTAAAGATCAAAAAACATTATTTTTCTCATGTTTGGACATTGCTGCAGGCAGCACCTCTTTTCACGTCTCTTCAAAGCCCGCCTTCATGAAAAGGTCTGCTCTGATTGGTCAGCTGGCCCAGTCTATTGTGATTGGTCAGCCGATTAGAGCGTGTCGGAAATATAAAGTAACTTACCATAATTGGGTTTCATCTCCAGAGGCTTCATTAGCAGCTGTAAACAGTATTTTATCTATGGTGACTATAGCATTGGTTAGGGTTAGGATTAGCGTTGGTAAAGAAGTCAAATGTTTTTTGCCCTTGCAGTGTGAATACAAACTGTGTTTTCTTGACATATGCAATCTAAGAACATATATAAGGAAGCATTTAAAAAATGGACTATCTTTCTCATTAACCAATGAATTGCTTACTTATAGTTGTTTCTGTACAGCAAGGTGTGACAGGAGAAGGTATTAGTATGAGAATTAATTAGCAGTGATCTCCTCACAGTGTTTTCATGGGGATTTATTTGTCTGTGTTTCCAGGCTCTCTGCTCTTCAGGCTCTGCTCCAGCACCTCCTGCAGGCTGAGGACATCGTTAAAGTCCATGAGGCTCGTCTGACAGAAAAAGAGACGACTTCTCTTGATCTGAACGAAGTGGAAAAGTACCACATGACTCTCAAGGTGAACTTAATTTTTATGAGTTTAAATATCTGAACTTTTAATATGAACCCTTGTCTTTTTTTAACCAGGTACATAATATGTGTGTGTGTGTGTGTGTGTGTGTGTGTGTGTGTGTGTGTGTGTGTGTGTGTGTGTGTGTGTGTGTGTGTGTGTGTGTGAGGTGTCTGGGTTGTTATAGTTAACTAAAACTAAAATTAAAACCATTAAAAAATTACTTAATGGTTACTACAACGTATACTGAAATAAAATACAATGTATAAAACTTTTTATTTCAGCTAGTTGCCAAAGCAAAAATTCTCATTTTAATTTAGTTTAACTTGATGTACTAAACTAACTAAAACTAAAACAGATACAAATTAAATAAAAAAAAACAATAGACATTTATTTTTTATTTATTTCTCTAAATAACTACTAAAAATGACAAAAACACACAATTGTTAAAACTAAAATGAAAACGTAAAAAGAAAACCGATTCAAAATATTAATAAAAACTACAATAATATCTCAGTGATACTAAAATAACACTGGTGTGTGTGTGTGTGTGTGTGTGTGTGTAGGTGAGATCATTTTGAGTCATTTCGACCCTGAAGCATATTTTGAGTTTTATGCACTGAATGAAAAATTAACATCTAATTTGTGCTCATAAGATTATTGTTTGCAATATACAATAAATGGTGGGTTTTCATAAAATAATGTTTTTGAAAAATGCCTCTAAAGATTCTAAGTTTCAGTCATTTTTGACTGAATTAGGAGATTATTCAAGCATACATTAAATAATTAGGTTAAATATAGTGCAATAAGAAAATATTCAGACCCCTTCATTTTTTTCACATTTGTGACCCTGGACCACAAAACAAGTCATAAGGGTCAATTTTTCGAAATTGAGATTTATACATCATCTGAAAGCTGAATAAATAATAATATAATTATTAATCAATAATAAATTAAAAATAGTTAGGATCTGACAGTATTTGGCTGAGATACAACTATTTGAAAATCTGGAATCTGACGGTGCAAAAATTTTTTAAAATATTGAGAAAATCATCTTCAAAGTTGTCCAAATTAAGTTCTTAGCAATGCATATTACTAATCAAAAATTAAGTTTTAATATATTTACTGTAGGACATTTACAAAATATCTTCATGGAACATGATCCTAAATATCCTAATGATTTTGGCATAAAAGAAAAATGTATAATTGTGACCCATACAATGTATTTTTGGCTATTGCTACAAATATACCCCAGCGACTTAACACTGCTTTTGTGCTCCAGGGTCACATTTTATTAAGTTGCAGCCTTAAAGGGACAGTCAGTGTTATAGTTGAGACCAGCTCATTTAATTCCGAGTCAAGACCAAGACTAGAAGAAGGTCGAAGAAGTGTCCGACTGTTATTCAGTCAGTGTAAATATGTTTTTCCATATGGGTGAATGAAGCCTGTTTTTGCACCATCGTCACAAAAAAATTCCGATTTTTTTTTGTCCACAAATGGCTCATTGCGACTTCCAACTCAAAATGATTGAGCGTGTGTCAGATATATATATTTCTGTTTGATTGTGGTGTCTTGTGCCATGCAGACCATGAAAGCAGAGCTGGAGCAGAAGAAAGATTTTTAAAATATTGAGAAAATCATCTTCAAAGTTGTCCAAATTAAGTTCTTAGCAATGCATATTACTAATCAAAAATTAAGTTTTAATATATTTACTGTAGGACATTTACAAAATATCTTCATGGAACATGATCCTAAATATCCTAATGATTTTGGCATAAAAGAAAAATGTATAATTGTGACCCATACAATGTATTTTTGGCTATTGCTACAAATATACCCCAGCGACTTAACACTGCTTTTGTGCTCCAGGGTCACATTTTATTAAGTTGCAGCCTTAAAGGGACAGTCAGTGTTATAGTTGAGACCAGCTCATTTAATTCCGAGTCAAGACCAAGACTAGAAGAAGGTCAAAGAAGTGTCCGACTGTTATTCAGTCAGTGTAAATATGTTTTTCCATATGGGTGAATGAAGCCTGTTTTTGCACCATCGTCACAAAAAAATTCCGATTTTTTTTGTCCACAAATGGCTCATTGCGACTTCCAACTCAAAATGATTGAGCGTGTGTCAGATATATATATTTCTGTTTGATTGTGGTGTCTTGTGCCATGCAGACCATGAAAGCAGAGCTGGAGCAGAAGAAAGGTGTTTTGAAGGCTATGGAGACTGAGCTGTCCAAGGCTGTGCACTGGAACAGTCAAATAGACAAATCTTTCCACCAGTGTGATGTTGACCTGTCCAGATACTCAGAGCTCGTTGGACAGATGACTGACCGCTGGCGCCGAATTGTGACTCAGATTGATAGCAGGTATGGAAAAATAATTTCCACATGTACTTTCGGGATACACAATGACAAGTGCTGTATCATCACCATAATTAACTATATTAAATTTTTCTTGCTTGTTTGTTTGCAGGGTATGGGACCTGGAGAAACAGGAGAAACAGCTGAATCACTACAAGCAAACCAACTCCATGATAAACAAATGGATTCAGGAAACACGTCAGCGCCAAGATGCCCTCCAGATTACTAAATTCAACAGTCTGGACAGTTTGATGGACCAACTGAACCAGCAAAAAGTCAGTCCAATACACTCCCAATAAAACACTCACATCTGGTCAAATGTTATTAAATCTGATATAAAGTCTAGTGCTTGCCTAGACAGATGAAATTATCACATTGACAAGATCATGACAAGATCACCTTTCAAAAGGTATTCATATGTACTTTTAAGGTGCTAATATGCACCCTTTAGGGGTCAATAAAGTACAAAGGCGCACCTTTTTCAAAGGTATCACCCCAGTGACAGCTTTTGTACCTTTTTTTCTGATAGCGTGCAACGGAGGCACTTTTCACCAAAGGTATGAAAATATACAGTACAGCCAAACTGACTCCATTACAGTCACCGATTCTAATACCACATCAGTAAAAGTCTTAAAGTATCTGATTTTAACAGTACTTCAGTATTTTACTTTTACTGGACGTAGGCTCAAAGATGCAGAAAACTGTTGATTTGTGAGGAGAGTAATCACATGTTTATTTTCCAAAACTGAACACCTTGATATCGCATTAAATTAAGGTCGACACAGCAGCCACTTAAACGCTTAAAGTCTCAGTTAAGTTCTCAAAACAACATGTAGTGTACATTTTGTAATATGCATTTTTTGTACTGTAAGTACTCTTCTCATCTGAATTTAAGGAAGCTCTGCTTCTATTTCTTAACTTGCTTGTAAATGGTATGAAAGAAAAGTAATTTCATATTACTAAGTCAGTTCTCTTTTGCTGTCATGGAGCATCAAGACCCTATGACAGTAAGAAGAATTTCCAACAAAGTGTATGTAAAAAAAGGCCTTTTGAGCAAGTATCATAGGCTGTCTGCTGCTGTGGTTCAGACCTTGTTGCTCTTCTTCGCTCAGTAATGAAATGCAATAATGGAACCGAAACATGTCAGTAGAACAATTTAACTGATACATTCTGATTAAGAAAGTGGATTTTGGATTTGGGTAGAGCTTGGATGAAATATTTAATTGAGAAAAATATGTTGTCAATGAACAGGCGCTGTATTCTGAGATAAAAGGAAAGAAAGAAAAAGTGGATGATGTGGCCAAAGATGCAGACACGTGCGCTGCCTCCATAAAGGTGAGACTCATATTTCTCATATTTGATCATTACAAGTATATACAAATGATGCAAAAGGCTCAGTTCTCAGATAACTCTTTTCGCAGGACTATGAGCTCCAGCTGGCATCCTACAGTGCAGGACTGGAGACGCTGCTCAACATTCCCATCAAGAGGACTATGCTGCAGTCTCCATCCACTGAACTGAGGCAGGAGGTAATCATATTACATCCAAGAGGGGAAAAAATGAATTTACATCACAGTTGACATGATTTACATTCTTTTGAGTGTATGAGTACATTTTCTATCTTCACTGACTTATAACTGTTTCACTAAAGGCGGCAGATTTGCAGTCACACTACATAGAGCTCTTGACACGTTCGAGCGACTACTACAAATTCCTCGGGGAAATGATGAAAAACATGGAGGAGTTAAAGGTAAAAGTTGTGTCTGATGTGTTGTGAATATATCTTTCCAACTTCTAAATCAGGGTTCATGAGATGCCAGTGCCAAACTGCATGCAAATGTATGATCTATATTATTATATTTTAGATTTTGTAGAAATGTAAGAATATGAAAATGGAAACAAACATGCCAAGATGTTGTCAAATTCATTAAATTTTTAAGGTTAACATTAAAATTCTGATTTTTAAAAAAGTTTACATAGGTATTAGAAGCAGGGTTATTATAGTTAACTAAAACTGAATCTAAAATTAAAATGAAAAAGGAAAATGTACAAATAAAAATAGTTTTTATTTAAAATATGAATAAAAACTATTAATATCTCTAATGATACTAAAATAACACTGTTTAGGAGTTTAACAGGCAATAAGGTTGTCTGGGATTCCCTGAAATATATAATGTAGAATAATTTCTTTACATTTTCAAATAAATTTGTTTGAAGACTATAAATGTGATTTATTAGAATGCCAAAAGCAAGTCACAAGAATGCTAAGAATACTACAACAATTCCTAACATAGTACCAATTTTGTCACAGTGCTAGTTTCAGTTCATCTTGTTTAGGACACTAAAGATTAGTCACTACATAGTCAAGTTAAGTTAAAGGAACACTCCGCTATTTTTGAAAATAAGCTCATTTTCCAACTCCCCTAGAGTTAAACAGTTGAGTTTTACCGTTTTCGAATCCATTCAGCCGATCTCCGGGTCTGGCGGTAGCACTTTTAGCTGTAGCTTAGCATAGATCATTGAATCTGATTAGACCGTTAGCATCTCGCTCAAAAATGACCAAAGAGTTTCGATATTTTTCCTATTTAAAACTTGACTCTTCTGTAGCTACATCGTGTACTAAGACCGACGGAAAATGAAAAGTTGCAATTTTCTAGGCCGATATGGCTAGGAACTATACTCTCATTCCGGCGTAATAATCAAGGAACTTTGCTGCCGTACCATGGGTGCAGCAGGCGCAATGATATTATGGAGCGCCTGAAAATAGTCCCCAGCACGCTCCTTGTGCAAGCAGGTGGTCACGTTGGTTATGTTGACGGAAGTTAGCCTATTTTCATATATTATAGGCGTATATTATCAGGCGCTGCATAATATAATTGCGCCTGCTGCACCCATGGTACGGCAGCAAAGTTCCTTGATTATTACGCCGAAAATGGCGTAAAACGGTAAAACTCATCAAAATAAAGTGTTAGCACTATTAGCAGTGCTGATAGATACCAAGTACAGTACATATAGGAAACAAAAAGGAAGCACAATGTTCAAAATGCTTTCTTAAATGTGAGGATTTGTTATTCTTGTAAGTTACTACCACTAACTTACACTATTCAATATGGCTTTTTTTTTATTAGATGCGGAACACTAAAATTGACCTTTTGGAGGAAGAACTAAAACGTCTCAAGGACAACCTCAAAGATCAAACTCATAAAAACCAGTCAATGGAGGATAGTCTGGCTCGCTATCGGCTGGAGCTGACTCAATCTAAAGAAGAGCTTATTTCTATGGAGGAGATCAAGAGAACCCAGGCTAGACAATGCAGTACTACTCGGGAAAGCCTGGACAGCACCCAGAATCAGCTGAAGAACTTGCAAGATGAGGTGTCCCGCCTCACCTTTCTCATCGAGGAAGAGAAACGCAAACGCAGGCTGGCTGAGGACCGATACACCACCCAGCAGGAGGAGTATGAGCTCGCTGTCCGCAAGAGACAGAAAGAACTCGAGGAGCTCAGTTTGTCCAAAAGTCAGTTTGAAAGGGCCATCAAAGAAAAAGAGCGGGAGATTGAACGGCTGCAATTACAGCTGCAGGATGAGGCCTCCCGGCGCAATGCAGCAGAATTAGAGACCTCAAAGGTAAGAACACAGTTAAACCAGGACATTAATAGCCTAAAGCATACTTTTGAATCTGAGATCCACATCACCAAGACCAGTGTGCTCAAGGCAACACAGCAGAAGGAGGAGGAATCGACAACTCTAAGGTTTCAGCTGGATAGGTTAAACTCTGAGAAAAGAGACCTGGAAGAGGAACTTAGAAAGCTGCAGCTTTCGTTCTCCCAAGCCGAAGCGGCACGAAGGAAATCAGAAGAGGACGCTCATCAGCAGAGGTCAACCGAGGGGAGCAGGTTCAAGAAGGAACTGGAGTCACAGATTCAGGTCATATTACGTCAAAAGGAAGAGACTGAAACAAGACACAGAGTGGAACTGACAGAGGCCAACAGAGCTGGTCAGGAAAAGGCCCGTGAGATTACCTTGTTGACCCAAAATCTACAAGACGAGACTAGGCGGAGGAAAGCCTTGGAGGTTGAGAATCAAAGTCTCAGACAGTCTCAGGCTGAACTACTCTCTAAGCACACTTCAACCAGCGAGACCATTAACAAGTTAAAGATCTCTGAGCAAGAGCTTCTCGTTATAAAGAGAGAGATGGCGACACAAAAGAACGAAAAGAGCACATTGGAACAGAATGGCATCAGGCTGCAGAGTCGCATCAGTGAACTGCAGGCAAAGGTGAACGAGTTGCAGGCTGAACTGGAAAAGGAGAAGAGGAGTAATCAGGATGAACTCACAAAGAGGAAAAGAATAGAAACCGAGCTGGAGAGGGTGAATCAGATGTGCCGTGAATACACCACTACCATCAACACTCTGCGGGTCCATCGAGAGCAGGAAAGTGCTTCTGGACGCAGGCATGACCAGGAGCTTCGCAGTTTGAAAGATGAGTTGGAGAGAAGCCAGAAGGACTACAAAATCACAGTAGAGAATCTGAACAGAGTGAATGGCGAATTGAAGGCTTTGCAACAGCAGCTTCTGCGGGAACAAGGCCTTGTCCGTGAGGCCAATCAACGCAACGATTCCCTCTACAAGACTCTAGAAGACAAGAGTCGATTGCTAAATGAGAGCACCAGTGAGATCGAGAAGTTGCAGAGCCTCACCCAGAATCTCACCAAAGAGCATCTGCGGCTAGAGGAGGAACTGAGGACTGTGCGACTAGAGCGAGATGACGTGAAGAGAAGCCTGAGCACCATCGAGAGTGAAAGTGCTTCCCGATTGTCTGCCATTCAATTCCAGTTACAAACCAGCAATAACAGAGCACTGGAACTGCAGGAACTAATCAATGATCTGACTAAAGAGAGAGAAAATTTAAGGGTGGAAATTGCCCAAATCCAAAAGCAGTTCACGGAGGTATTTTTTTCTGAGCGACATCAGTTGAATCAAAAATACATCACCAATTTAAGTTATATCAAAATGGCTTTGCTGGATAACACTGCTGCATAATGCTTTACCTTTGAAAGCACACTTTCTGCATAACACTGCATGGTTACACTCTTCCCACAAAAAGCTTTTTTAATACTTGCTTTGGTAAAACAAATAATTTTTGTTTTATTCTAACCACGTTCAAATCAATATGGTGTTGGTGTTATAATTCTTTCATTTGTTAAATCCTCTAAATGAATTATAATCTGAAATAGTTTATCAATAAATTATCATTTCTCTTTTATGTTTACAGACATCCATGATGATCCAGCGATCTGATGCCAACTACAAAGAAATTGTGCAAGAAAGAGATAGTCTTCTAGTCAAACTGAAGCTGTCGCAACAAGACAAAGACAAGCAGCAGCGCTCCGAAGAAGAGCTCCGGCGCATCAAACTCTCCTTGGACTCTGAGATCAAACAGAAGCAACGTCTCCAGGACGAAATTGATAAAATTACCAAGGATTTCAAGTACTGGAAAAGCCAATA